CGCCTGTCAGCGAAGATAAATATATTTCACTTCATAATGAAAGTTTCTGGCTTAAACTCCTGGATAATGGTCAAAATGCTGCCAAGGTCAAAGAACTTATTTCTGTATCAATCTATTAAAAAAAGAAATAGAACTGTATGATTTATGTAGGTCAGTTCCTGGATGTTGGTTTGACAACACAGATCCAGGTGATTTCCAATTTAGGAGGACACAGAAAGCAGCTGGTCTTGGGAGCAAAATACAACACAGGAAATCTGCTTGGCAATTGAAGTATTTGTATGAATTTTTCATAAAATCTATGGCAACTGCTAGAAGCCAACATCTACAGGAATGTTCAATTGATGGATCAAGAAAATAAGAGGAAGTGGGACCAATGAGGTGAAGAAAAGTTGTGCAGTGATTATAGATTTGTCAGAGCAGACAAGGAAGGGTTGGGCTTCTCGGCTCTGCTCTTGGTTTGACTGCCTTGGAAGGCTACTGATCTCCAGTTAAAAAGTCATGTATCTTCATTTTAGTAAAGCTTTTGGCAAAGTTTCTTACAAAGGAGCAAAGACAATATGATCCAGATTGAAAATCCCATGGTGTCAGAAAAGGCAAGGCTGAGGAAGGGTTAGCAAAATGGGGCCACTATTAAATGGAGAGATGTATTGAAAGAGGTTTCTCGAGTGTCTATTCTGTATCTGTTACTTTTTATAAAACATCCCAAGAACAGAATAGAGACTAAGCTTGTTACATTTACAGAGGACATGAAGAAGAGAGGAAATAAAAGTGTGTTAGAGAACAGAATAAGAATTGAGAGGGAATTTGTCAAGCTGGTGATGGGGTTTTTTTAAGAAAAACACAAAAGATGGTATTCAATAGGTGCAATAGACATAGCATTATCAGTTCCCCCGATACAGGAAGGGGAAAAGTAAACAGGATTACAGTTGCATAGAAAAAATGTAGAGTGAATCACAGGCTAAGCACAAGTCATCACTGTTAAGCTGTTGTAAAAAGGAAAATGCCATACAAGTGGGGTAGAAACAGGAAAACAGCCTGCAAAATAGGAAAAGCAATTATTTTGCTCTGCTAACCCATGGTACTGCTTCAATTTTAGTGCTTTTTTTCAAATGTTTTTCACCTGGATCATGCTTGGCTTGGGGAACTACACTTCCAAAATGACATTAGGTGTCTGCAGAATAGTGCAGTGGAGATCAAGCTTGATTACCAGTCCAGAAAACATTAAATATCAGGATAGTAAGAGGACTGTTTGGAATAATGAAGAAAAGAAGATGCAGGGCCTTTAAATATGGTAAAGTCTCCGATATGGAGGAAGCAAAGAGTCTGTTCTCTGGGCCAGCAAAGACAGACCTTTCACTAATGGACTGAAATTGCAGTAGAGGCTATGTTCAAAGTATACATTAGAAAAAAAGGCCTTTAGTGATAAGGGTAGAGAAACACTGGGAAAGATTGCCTGAGGAGATGGCAAAAGCACCATACTGGGAAGCCTGTAAGAACAAGATTGAAAAAACAATTATGTTACAACAAAAGAGTAGTTGATCCTGTCTTAGAGCAAGGGAAAGTACCAGAAAGGGTGATTTCTTAAGGTCATTTTCAACCTTATGCATCTTAGCTTTTTTTCTGTTCCTTAGATTTCCCTGGTTATAATATTCACCTCACAAATTCAAACAGAAGTAGGGAGAGGTCTGTTTTGGATGTCAAAACGAAAAAAAAAAATTAGGCAATAGCTGTAAGCTTGAAGGCATTCACAAAAGAGAACAGTTCTGGCAAGGCAGTTATACAGTGCAGAATCAAAATTAATCCATACAGTTTGTCAAGAGAAGGTGAAGGAGCAAATCTGCTGCATTTTACAAACATCTTCAAAAGGAAGATATTTCTGTTAACAAGAAGCAGGCTTGCAATGGACAGATGCTGCAGCTAGATGAATTTACCTTTTCAAACAACATTTACATTTCTATCAGTTATTTTTTACACGTTAAGGTAGCGTGGTACGTGTTAGGGTAACCACTGAGAAATCTTCAAAAGTGCAGTGATGGACTTGCCATTTCTCCAACCATTTCTCTTGCCACTTCGTTTTAAAGTAAAACGAAGATGTCTTTCTAAGAAACAACTACAGAAAGACCTAGGTGTGGGAATGGCTGGAGGAAATTCTACAGCTTTCAATATTCAGGTTAGACAAGATGATCATAATAATCTCTCTGGCTTTTAAATCTGTTTACTCAACTTTGTAGAGAGATGTAATGTTTACAGATCACTGTCAAATCTGCATAAATGGATTAGAAAAAGGCATGAATGAGCAATTACTCTTGTGACCTCTGTGAAGTATAACTCTTACTATTTACCAGGTCATTATATTACAAATTGTCACTTCGTTCCTCAGTTTTAACTGCATAGATTAATCTCTTCAACAGCACCTGGAGTTCCATGGAGTAATGTATTTATATTAGCAGCATTATATATGACAGCAAATATATACTATATATTATGGTATATACATCATAAGTTATATATATGCGACATATATATATATTATACGTATATATATATATACTTTAACCGCACTAGTTTTCCTCCTTTTGTTCTAAAGGGATATGTGGGGTGGTGTTTCTTTTCTCCAGTGGGGCACATCTGCAGCCAGTCACTGTCAGCTTTGTTCTGGAGTCACTGAAGGGGTAGGTGATGGTCACTACACATCAGCTGGTAAAACCACCCACAGCAGATTCAACAAAGTGCACCACACAGGAAGTTCTTCATTGACAGTATTATGCAGGGCCCCTGCAGATCATAAGATTCCAGGATGCTGGTCTTGGAAATAGGAGGATTTGCCTGTGTGGATGTCTGTGATGAAACTACATATGGCATTTATAAGGTTTCTGTTGTTGCAGAGTTTAGCCTGGTTGTGCTGTTCTGACAGATTCCCCAGGGCCACAACCTGGATAAAAGGCTGCTGAGCAGCCTTTTAGAAACAGCAGTTTAAAACCTCTAAAAGGGGAGACTGGGTGACATTTGCAGAAGCAAAAGGCCTCGCGGCTTTTCCTCGCCTGGAGGAGTTGTGTCTTCTCAAGTTCAGGCTCCCTCTTCTTCATCACCTCTTTAGGGTCTTTGCACTTACGACAGAAGTGAATATGCAGTCAAATCCACAACCAAACTTCAGTCTGGCACTGAAGTTTGTCACTTGAACTGAATCTAAATTCATGGTTGTTTATTACAAGACTTTGTGGTTAAACAGTTCCCTTTGTGGACTCCCACTGCAGTCAATGGACTTTATGGGCACAGGTATCTACTCTCAGATATTCAGAGGGCATTGGGCATGGCTGAGACCCACATATGTGCTGCACTATGTGGGCCCTTCTGCAGCAATCAAACCTTTCAAAGAGTGGTTTTATTTGGTGCATCCAAATAAAAATTCAAACAAGCTGTCATGGAGAAAAAGCATAATTTTGAAATGGGTGGCAAATAGTTACACTGTGTTTTTAATGTGATGCTAACTTTTCTTGGAGAACTGAGGAGATCATTTTCTACACTGGATATTAGAAGAAAACTGCAGAGTCACTGGTTACAACTTTGGAGATAATTAGAGAAAAGATAGGTACCGGCTGATTTGTTTTTCCCTAGAAAGATGCTGTGTAATGTTTTAGAAAGCCTAGAGGAAAGAGTCAGAAAAGTGTTGTTTATTCATGTGATGAAATATTACAGACTACTAATTTAACCTGGGTGGGTATAACATACGAAAAAAGTGAGAAAAATTGTGTTTCTTGGCCTTAACGCTTTTTATAGTGCTTAAGTTCTTTACTGTTTTATGAAAGGTAATTTGTTTTCCCACTACAGTTCTGGTTTGGGTTGGATTTGGCAAAACTGAGGAATGGATTCTTCAGTAGTTTTTTCTGCTCATTGCTTTTCCTCTCCTTCCCAGTAAGATTTTGTCTGAACTTGGCTTTTGCAACTGAATATCAAGCAATACTAGCAAAAAGCGAAAAGGCAGATCTTTTGACCCTTTCCATAAGGAAAAGAACATGTGTTCAGAGGCCCCCCAGACAGACAGCAGGTTTGTTAAGAAACATTTTTACTATTTCACAGGAAAAGGAGGAAGGATTTGCCCTACTGGGCGCTGGCAGCACTGCCCGCTTGCTTGTGCCTGCGCCTTTCTCTGCCACCCTTCCTTCTGCCACCCACAGCAGTAGGACCTCCAGGCCCTCCCCTCACAGAATCACAGAACATTTAGGGATGGAAGGGACCTTTGGAGATCACCTAGTCCAACCCCCTGCCAAGGCAGGGAACAGATATGTTCCCTGACACGGGAACATATCCAGGTGGGTTTGGAGTGTCTCTGGAGAGGGAGACTCCACGACCTCCCTGGGCAGCCCCAGCACAAGGGTGCCCACGTTGCTTCTGGGTGAGTTTCTGCCCGCAGGGACAGTGCTAGGGGGTGGTTTTATTATCATTTATTGTCGTTGTTCACAGAATCACAGAACATCCTGACTTGGAAGGGACCCATCCACAAGGATCACCAAAGTCCATCTCTTCACCCTGCTCAGTACATTACCAAGAATCACACCATGTGCCTAAGAGTGTTGTCCAAATGCTTCTCGAGCTCTGGCAGGTTGGTGCTGCGACCACTTCCCTGGGGAACCTGTTCCAGTGCCCAATCACCTTCTGGAATGAAGAACCATTTTCTAATATCCAACCTAAACCTCCCCTGACACAACTTCAGGCTATTCCCCCGGGGTCCTGTTGTCGTTGTCCCTAGCTGTTGTCAACGCTGTTATTATCATGCTTTTATTTTTTCCTGTTGCTCCTCATCTACGAAGGGACCAACCCCAGAACTCCCGACGCCTCCAGAACACCCCGCTCGAGGGCAGGAGGGAAAAACGGAGGTACAGCACGAGAGAGCGAGGGGGCCGGGGGACAGGGGGGCGGGATTTCTGAGGAGACGAGGCCTCCAGGGGGCGGGATTTTGGAGGCTTCCAAGGGGGCGGGAGCGGCTTCCCCCGCCTCGATCGCTCCGCGCTCCATCGATGTGCTCTGGCGGCGGCTGGCGGCGCCTGTCGGTGCCGGGCGCAGGTGCCGGACGCGATCGCGACGGCGGCGGGCGGTGAGTGACCGGCCCCGGCCCCGGCCCCCGCCCCGCTCCCCCCGCCCCGCGCTGCGGGGCACCTCCAGATCCTTACCCCCCACCCCCACTTCCCCGGGCGGAGGCCTCCCCTTTTCTCTCTCCATTCGGCCTCCCCCTGCCTTCCGCTCCCCGGGCGGGGTCGAGCGCCGCGTCCCCGCCCCGGCTCCGGGGGGGATGTCGGAGCTGTCGGCGGTGGCCCTTGGGGTGCGGGGGCCGTCGCTGGTCTCCGGCCGTTACCCGGTGGCTTCCCGGCTGCAGCAGCTTTCCCGTGCTCCCTCAACGCCCTGGCAGGAGGCCGGGGACAGTATAGGGCGGGGAAATTCCCGTCACCTGCCACCCCCGCGAGGAGCACACGGTGCCCCGCTGGGTGACGGCGGCTGCCAGAGGTCGGGCCCGGCAGCAGCAGCTCCGTGGGCTTTGCCTCTCTTCCTCATGGCTGTCAGGGCCTGGTGGGAGCTTCTGGGCCCGCCCGCTGCTCCGGGACACGGGGCTGGTCTGAGGCTGTCTGAAGTCACAGAATCCATTAGGTTGGAAAAGACCTCAGACCATCGAGGCCAACCTCTCCGAGATGGTCGAGTTCACACCAGTGAACCGTGGGTGTGCTGGATGAGGGAGTAGGAGAAACGGGGGGCAGGGAGAGGTGAGGTCTGACCTCTGAAAAGCTGGTTATTTGCAGGACTGATTGGGTTTTAATTTTTTTTTTTTTTAATTTCGCATTGAGTGGTACTGTCAAGTTTCAGACACAACTCCCCAAAAACGAGTGGGTACTTAGGCGAGTGCAGTAGGAAAGTACCAGGGTAAGAAATATGAAAGGAATCGAAATAACATATACATGTTGAGAGATGGTTGTTTTCATTCAGATCTGTCTGGAAGTGTTATACTTTTCTGTGACTTTCTTTTTATTTTTTTTACTTCCTTTCCAGTTCTATATTGTTCCCTCATTTGCCTTGCAGTCCAGAAGGGTCCATGAGCTAGACGGCCAAATGTCTTTCCTCCTTGCTTCTATATCCTAATTAGGAACCTGAAAATGATCTCTTAGCAAGGGGTAGATATCTGAAATTTGGGGTGATCTTGTTTCCAAAAGGGATTTTTTCATTTTCGACATAGTATTCCTTCTTACACTGTCAGCTTTTTGTCGATTTTTTGTCCTCCTCTTTTTCTTTATTTCTTGCAGTTTGCTTGCTTGTTGTGGGTTAACAGCTTCTAGCCATAGGCTCAAAAGTTTTGAATCAAAAGCCAGTGAAATACTAAGCCATTCTAGATCTGACACAACATCAGATTAAATGTAAACTCCAAATATTCATTATTTAAAGTTTAGTTTAAAATTGTAATCTTATTTCAACTTTCCAGGCATTTTGAGCGTTCTTAAAACAAGTAAACAGTCTCTTTTCTCCTTTAGTGATTTCTGCGCATTTCATTACTATAAACTTTGTTTTGTTTTTGCTTTTGCTGAAGTTGTCAAAACAGCTAAAGGCTTGCAAATAAACAAACTTATGGCTTAGGAAAACAGGTCTGTTTTCTTCCTTTACCTTTTGCTCAGCTGAAGAAGGAAAGCTCTGTAATTCTTGCTTCCCTATTTCGATAGCATCTTATCACAGCTTGCACTGACCCAGCAAGAAGCAGCAAAAGGCATGTCCTGCTGCTGATTTCTTTCCCATGGATAGCTTAGTTTACAGTTTTTGTGATTTATGCCCACTTCTTGGACAACAATGTTTTTACTAAGATGGGATTTCTGTTGTCTGAAACATCACTTAAAACAGATGCAGTTATTTTCATTATACTGGTATGACTTAACTCAGTGAAACTTATTTTAAGTTGTAATGGTAAGAACGTTTTCTCTATGGAAAACATAACTTTTTTAGGACGTGTCAGAGGTGAAACTATTCAATTAAAAGCATGTTATCCATCAAACTTATGCTGGATTTTTTTCAAACAAAATCTAAAGTTGTCTTGTGTTTTTCTGGCCTTTGTTCAATAAATTACAATATTTTTACAGACTTGATAGTTGTGGGTTTTTTTAATCCTATAATTGCTTTATTGTATTTTGGAGCTGAATAGTGGTCCAAGGTAATGAATACTTCAAATGAATTCTGAAAAAACCCAACCATGTAAAGTTCTAAATCATGAACATTAAAAAAAAAATTAAAAAAATAAGTCTTTAAAGTAAATTGTTTTTCACCTTACCCTTGGAGCAGTGGATATTGTTATGTGAAGAAACTGTTTCATCTTCAGTACAAAAGGTATTGTTCACTAAGTGTTTTTGAATCTGCAGTATTCAGATTTTCTTTTTAATTGTAGGATTTCTTATGAGTATGAGCGAGGGTTTTTTTGCTAGTTGTTGAGAAGATTTGAGGGAAAAACAGGCATTAAAATATGTAATCCACCAATTGTTTTCCTGAGGTCCTATTAGAAAGAAACTCTATCCACTGATAGTCCTTTCTTTATTATGCTGCTCTTCCCAGAGAAGCTGGACTAAAGCAAAATAAGTAGGTTGACTAAAGAGGCAGAGGCAGTGGCAGTGACCTCTTTTAGTGATGAAAACTTCTAGGTACATTATGTTAAACCATACTTAATCAATTTCTTTCAATGTACTGGTACATTTAGCTGTAAATTCAGTAAGTCTTAAGCACTGTACTTAAAACAAAACGTCAGTTTTGAGTTATTTTAATTCTGTTTATTTTGTGCTTTTTGGCTTTCCTACTTCATTAAAAAAAAACAAAACAGCCAAAACTGAAAAAGAATATGAAAAGAAAGAAGTAGTTATCTCAATAGGATGGTGACAGAAGACTGAATATAAACGATGTTCTTAAAAACACGAATTTTGACAGCTGTGGAAAGTCTCCATAAAATAATCTACAGTTAGAGCTTTGTACTCCAGGACAAAAGCCTCTGAAGCACAGAGGGAGACTACCTGCATGTACTTTAAATACCCGTAGATCACTATTTACTTAAGCAAACAGGCAAAGAAAACTTTGCACAGGAGAAATAAGTAGTACTTCATTTTACAATCATGGACTGAAAAATAGTACCCAGAAGACTGTACGTGTTACAGTGACTTTATTTTCTATGTGAGTTTTTCCGACAGAGTGAAATCTACTGCTCTACTTAAAAGTAAGCTGAAGGTTCAAAATATGAAAACTGCTAAATTACTATCTTTTAGCAGAAGTCAGATGTTAGCTCTTCAGCTTAACTTTGACCTTCTGTCTTGGACCACCTACATTCTGTAAATCTGGGCTGTGCAACATTGTCTTTCAAATTACTTTTCCCAGGGGAGAAATATGGTGTTTGGTAATGGAGGGAATCTTGTTTGTAAAGGTGCTTGGAGGATGAGGGATGATTAGACAGCACATGTATAGCGGTCATGTCAGATTGATGTTTCATCTTCTGCACTGAACATAAAAGCAAAAGTCTGTGTGTACAGCTTGCAAAGTATGAGTTCAAAAATCTAGCTGATTAAAATTTTTGTAGCTTACCCTGGAAATTATTTTCAGGAATTTCACTCAGTGTTTCAGTTCCAAAGCGGTTGGATTTTTCTCTCTGTCAAAAGTTAGAGGAGAAGGGAAAGGCAGGAGAGAGAACTTATTTTTGTGATCTCCTGGAGGGGGGAAAAAACCCAACAAACCTGAAGCATGCAGTTTTCCCAGGAACTGAGTAATGAGAGAAATGCCCGAAAATAACTATTCATTGTGATCGCCATGTTATGGGCTTTGCATAGGGAAAGGTAAACTACGTATTTAGTATTTTAAACAACACCAAACCAAACACTTCTCCTCCCTCCTATGGAGAAATTCCTTGGAATGGTACTTTGTATGTTGTTTTGGAAGCATTTACTGCTTTTTCTCCCAAAATAAATTGGGCTGTGTAGTCTTTTTTTATCAACAGAGGTTGTTATTCTGCAGAGAGTATGTTCAGCATTTTCATTAGAAAATACTGTGATTGCATCTGGTGATGAGTGTGAAAGCCTGTGTTTCCTTTTTAATTTTGTTTGCTTTGTTTTTAAGGAAAACAAAATTTCTGAGACACCAAGTCCTTAATGGATCTGGTTTTCACTTGACCTTAAGGGAACTGCAGATTCCCAGATTTCTAGTTTAATTCTCAAAGGCGGACCTTAGGCTATATTGTGCAGAAACCAGTGGGGTCTCTGGCAGTGTAAAAGTGTCTTTGGATCAGATTACAATATAAGTCAGGGGTTTTTAGGTATATTTAGACTTGTATTTTTTTTCTTTGACTTTGTGGATAACTGAAAAGTAATGTACCCTGTATTTTGAAGTTCGTAAAAAAGCCTGTATTAATTAAAGATTTAGGCTTATGCTGAGCAAAAATTCCTTTTTAAAGGCCTGCTTTTGTATTGAGGGCAAACTAAATTGATTTTTTTTGACATATTCATAAAATGTCTAAATTAAAAAAGCAATTACTTTCAGTTTTATGTGTAGGAATTCTGTGAGTCTTGTGACATTTCGAATCTCGCTGTGGTTTTAACAGGTGTACCCTGCTTTTTGCAATTGCACATTGGATATTTGGAAAAAAATTAAGAAGCTGTGTATATAGCCAATGAGTTCTCTTATGTTTCCTTTTCATTAGCAGAGAAGGCACAGGAGCTTCTGTTTCTCAAAAGTAACACAAGTGCACATCTCATCTTTTAAATACTTTTGAAAAAAAAGGAACTGCCAAAAAAGTCCCATGGCAATGTTAAATTTAGTGTTGCAGTCCTACCTATAAGCACCCAAGTTAAAACTTCAACCATATGAACTGTGTAATTACAGTGGTTATATAGTGTTTTTATAAAGAATATTGTGTGTAGTTCTAGGGCTTAGAAAAAAATCTGTGATGTCTTGTTTCTTTTCTCTAGAAAAAAAAATTTTCATCCCTTTGGGATTTATTTAGTTTATTTTTCTGAACTTCTGGATCTTTCTGAATGCATTTGAATAAACATATTTGAAAGTTTTTGATGCTTGAAGTATTGTTTTCAAATTTCTACC